AGATACACGGTATCCCAGGGATAGCCAAGTCCTACACATCAGTTAATCAAGACTGTTTTTTTTTAATTCACTGAAATTGCATGTTAAATTTTCTAAGTGTTCAGTAGTCATAAAGAAGTAAGTTACAACAATTACATCTTTCACAGATAGACATTCTGGTCCACAAAACTCACAGGAACAGAAAGCCACTGATTTTACTTCCATAGAAGCAAAGCTGAACTGCCCTGAACACTCATAACAACGAAACAAACAAATCTATCTATAATGCACACTGAGCTTGGTCCAGATGCAACCCAATGGCTTGGAAATTCACATCTGCAGCTTTTCTGACAGGGGACAGATCCTTCTGGCTTCAAACACTGGTCTGCATTGCTCCTGTGCACGTCACTGCCTTCTGAAGCTGCTTGCGAGGCTGTGCCGGTGACACCGTGCCTTTCTACAGGCTGTCCAAAACGGAGTGACACTACCAGACCACCTCACCATGGCTCTGGGTATCGTGTTCCCTGTGCTCCCCCACGGCGGAGAACCTTCATCTGCCATCACCTCCTCCATGCAAAAAGCTCTGCCAAACACGCAGAGCAGTTTGAGCATAGAGAACAGTGTTTTAGGAACAGTCCTCAGTGCAGAAAGCAGGGCAGGCCTGAAGAGAGAAGGCAAAATCGGACAGAGCATCCAGCGGGGAAGGCACGGGCATGGAACCCTTCCTCAGGAAGCGTGTCCACACTGCAGCCCATGAGAGTGACATGCAGGAAACAGGAGAGCTGTTATTTCAGGGAAGAACCGGGTGATGAGAAACAGAACCAGGGACAAAGAACAGACTGACATTGAGATTTTTAGGCTGGCCGAACTCCTAACTACCATTTGTAACATTAGATCCATGGGAAAAATTTTCTGAGTTGAAAAAAAACATACAATTTTATAAATAAATCTTTGGAACCTGGCCAGTTTTTTAATAAAGGCCTTAAAGTGCTACTAGAATCTCATGGTCCAACTATAATAAGATGGAGCCACTCTTTCTTGTCCACCGACCACGCGTACAGCCTGCACACTCCCAACAGTGGCTGCCTGAAACTCTCTAGGCCTCAGCTGCTGGCTTTCATTTTATGACAGAAAACAGGCTCTGATTCCATTTGTTTTTTCTCACACTTCCCTGCAGACTCAGAAGAACACAAATCCCTCTTTCTGATTTGGTGACTCCTTCCATCTGCGATCCCCCTGAGCAACATTGTGCTTAGCTTCAGCACCTCTATTTCCTCCCTGTTCACTGTCTTCTTCCCACTGAACAGCACAGGCCCATCTTAAGAACAAAATACAACAAAACCACTTTACATTATAAAGGTTTTACAGAAAATTTGGAGGATACATAAAGGTACGGTGTGGATGTGAAGGCCCTGCCTGTCATAGCTCCCAGGAAGAACCTGCTGTGTTTCTTTCCAAACTTCCTTATGCTCACAGCCTATTTTTCATAATCAGATACTCTATCTAGATTATGGCAAAAAGCTACAAATACTATCCCTGGATATCAGAAACACCTCTGGAAGATGTGTAACACCCAACGCAGATGCTAAATGAATTTAACCATACCCAGTCTGTCTCAGTCCGTCTGCCTATCTCGTTCTCTCTCTGAAATGGGGGACTCACTGTTGCCCAAGCTGGTCTTGAACTCTTGGGTTCGAGTAAACCTCCAGCCTCAGACTTTTGAACCCGTACCTTCCTCTATAAATATCTGTAACAGTATTTCTGATTATCTCCTGTAGATCACACAGTGGAAGGTTAAAGAGCAGAAGCAGCCCCTTAAAGTTCTTTATATAACCAACTGCTTCCAGCAAGGCAGAAGCAGCTTCTGTAGTCCAACCAGCAGACAGCGAGCATTTCTGTCTTGTGCCACAGTAAAATGGAAGGTCCACTATCTTGGAGAAAACAGTCCGACTTTCAACAGGTCCTGTAAATATATTAGTCTTCCTTTCACAGGTTACATGAATAAGAGGCATGTACTGATTACCTTCATGTCACTACACACGCCACACATGGTTCTTCCGGAGTACTCCACTGAAATGTTCTAACTACTCCATCCAGCTGAACCAATGTTTTACATTCTCATCATTAGCCTATTTCCCCCTACCCTTCCTACCTTTGTGGCCACTGGATTCTACTTATCTTATCCTTCTTAAAGAACCCAACCCTTCCCTCCATTACCTACCACATTCTCTTCTGTGCCACTTTTCCTTTCTGTTGTTGTGCTAAGACAATGACCAAAAGCAACTTGGGAGGAAAGGGTTTATTTGGCTTACATAAGAAACATCAGGGCAGGAACTCAAGCAGGAACAGAGGAAGGACCAGAAAGCCTTGGGTTGTTCAGCCTGCTTTCCCATATGACCCAGAATCACATGCCCAGGGCTAGCATTGTGCACACTGGGCTGGGTCTTCCCACACCAAAACATTAATCAAGAAAATGTTTCAAAGACACGCCCACACGCCAATCTGATGGAGGCAAATCCTCAAATGAAGTTCCCAGATGGCTCTAGTCTGTCAATTTGACAAAAACTAACCAGCAGTTCCCTTAACCGCCAGTCTCAAGATCTGTTTTAGTATTATTACAGAGTTTCTCTGTAGCTTTGGAGACTTCCTGGAACTGGCTCTGTAGACCGGGCTGGCCTCAACTCAGAGATCACCTGTCTCTGCCTCCCAAGTGCTGGGATTAAAGGCGTGCATCACCACCGCCCGGCTCTGTTTTATTATTTTTATATTTATTTATTTGTGTATGTACAAGCATGCACATGATGTGGTGTTGCTGCAGAGGTCAGAGGATAACAGAGTAGTAATACCTACAACACAGCAATACATCCTCTCTGCCCAACTAAGAGGCCTTTGAGGGCATTCCTGACTGTTTTCCCTTATGTTCTTCCTGCTTTGTATGTGTGTATTTATGGTGGGGTCTTATGTGGCTCACACTGGCCTCGAGCATGCAATAAACCTCCTGCCTCAGAGCAGATTTTAGGATAAACAGGCATCACATTATGCCTGACTTCACTTTTCTTATTTCTAACAAACAGCCATGCCTGCAGTCCTCCACACTGGAAACTTACAGAGTCCATCTTAAAAAAATATTTTGGTTGGAGAAATGATTCAGTGTTAAGAGCACTGGATTCAATTCCCAACACCCACACGAACTCCAGTTCCAGGGGATCCGATGCCCTCTTCTGGCCTCTTTGGGCACTTTATGCATCTGTGCACAGACATACAATATAGCATCTAAAAGTTTATTTTTAATTCTAGATATGTGTATGTGCATGTGAGTGTAAGTATCTGTGAAGGCCAGAAGAGGGCACCAGACACCCTGGAGTTGAAGGTAACAGTTGCTGGAAGATGAACTTCAGTCCTCTGCAAGCCATGAGATTACTCCTAACCACTGAGTCATTTTTCTAGTCTCATCAAGCTATCTTAAATAGTCCACGCCTCCTGAATCATTACTTTCTTCAGTGCACGGCTCTGTTACCGTTTCCATCATCGCCTTAGACATAGCTTACTGCAGCACTACACAGGTTAAAGCAAAGCACCCTGTACACAGTTGCCTTGTTATTTCCAGTTTAAAAAAATGATTTATGCTTTGAAGCTTTTTTTTTTCTTTGTCCAAATCCATCTAGTTCAAGCTCCTTACAAGCCCACACCTTTCCTCCTACTGACTCTAGGGTAATCTGCGCTTTTCCTTGGTACCCTGCTCCCACCTCTCTAGACCCATAACTACCCTTCTTCTTTGCCCATAACACTATAGCCTTTCTGTTTCAATGGAGCCCTCAGTTGATAACCCTATCTCATTAAACTTTCCCTTTTCTAAAGACTCTCAGCAAAGCAGACTTTAAGCTGCCAATGTGACATTACCACTTTGAAGTTGGGGAAGGGGGATGTGTCCAATACCAGCAGGACCCAGCCCAGCAGCACTCACGGTCTGGTCCGTAATCTAGAGCTTAACACATGCTGTAAGCCCTCTAGTGCATTACATGAGCTGGTTTATACGCTGCAATAAACTAGCCCTAGGAAGTGAGCAGTGTGCGGGACACACAGCATATGCTCAAAAAGAAACCTGCTGGCACCACCTAGAGCAATATGATAAGCCAAAATATGAGCAGTTACAATGGATGTGATCTCATTTAGGGTTGGTTAGCAAGAACAAATAAAAGAACAATGAAGGAGCAAATTGGAACGGAAATAAAATCAGAGTCATGTCCCAGCTTGGCACCTAGGTGGCCCTTAGCAAGTAAATTCCCTTCCTAAGCCTATGCTTCCTCCTCCAGCCCAGGGTGGTGATGCACACCAGAAATCCAAGTATTCAGGAGACTGAGGGTTCCAGGGAAGCTGGGCTGTAATGAAGTCCTGTCTGAAAAAGCAAAACGTAGTAGAAGTTCCCTCATCTATTTAAATTAGGGGACTAGATGACTTCTCAAATATTTCTCCAGTGCTCTGGGATATGGGATAAACAGGAGAAGCCCATGGTCTTTTGCCCTGGTAACAGCAATGAAAATAAGGTCACTGTAAAAGCTGACAGTCAAAGGAGCATAGGGCGCTAAGGTATGACGGACTTTCTGGTAAGTCCATTCATTCTTTTGACTCAGTCATCCTACTGAAAGAGACAATGTCCTGGAACTGGAGCTGGATCAACAGATAAGAGAGCTTGCTTGCTATGCAAGCAAGAAGACTGGAGTTCGCCTCCCCAGAGCCTATGGAAAGTCAGATGTGGCCACTTAGTGTAGTAATAGCAGCATTGTGAGGTGTGGAGACTGGAGGATCACTGGGATCTGCTGGCTGCCTGCCTAGCTCCAGGTTCAGTGAGGGAATAAAGTAGGTAGATCAGGACACCTTAGGTCCTTCTCTGACCCTCACACAGGCACACAATGTGCAACCAAACATCTGCATACAACACACACACACTTAAAAAAGATACAATGTTTTAAAAGTTGTATCTATTTTATTCAGCTTTCAGGAGAAGAGATGTGAAAACTCACCTTTTAGTTGCTCAATCCAAGACATTTCCTAGTGTCCTTCCATCAAAGCAATGTGTTCTAACAGATGCTGACACGCACCGTTTAGTCTCCACGTCTTCTGTCACTGCTCCTTAAAAGAAGCTGCACGGCTCTGAGAAACGGATGGAAGTCCCAGCCCCTTTCTCTTACTAGTGCACAATCGTAACATCAGAACGTGATTTCAGATGTTCGCAAGACCTGTCATCTGTGGTGGCGTCCAAACATCGTAAGTCAACACCCAAACAATAAACAACTAAAGTTCGCCAGGCGGTGGTGCACGCCCTTAATCCCAGCACTCCGGGAGGCCGAGGCAGAGGGATCTCTGTGAGTTCAAGGTCAGCCTGGTCTACCAGAGCTAGTTCCAGAACAGGTTCCAAAGCTACAGAGAATCCCTGTCTCAAAAAACGAAACAAACAAACAAAAATAAAAGTCCATAAACCCTCTATACTGTTTGCAAAGGGAGTCCACTCGAGATTGCCAATGGAAGTTGTTAAAGCACAGCTCTATTTTGTAAACTGAGTTGGGGTTATCTAGAACTCCATTCACCCAGAAGACCACCTTATTATGAGTAGCATTCTGGATAAGACAATAATGCCTGGATTATTCAATTTCTGAGCTACACATACTTGGTCAATGTTCTCGAAAGTTCATTTACTTCACAAACACACCAGCACTTCATGAGTTCCAGCTTGAATTAAGGGACCCCAACTGCACTTGGGAGTATCTCTGTGAGTTCCAGGCCAGCCGTGTCCACACAGGGAGTTCAATGCTGGCCAGGGCTACACAGGGACTATCTCAAGAAAACAAAAGGAAGCCCCAACTGGTCGTGTGACTGTTAGACATGCACAGAGCCCAGTAGGCAACACTAACAGCAGCGAGGGCCACAGATAACACAAATCCACTGCCTCCCTTGGGCAGTCACATTTCTGACCAAGTGATGCTGGACAAGTTTGTTTAGCTCTGTGACTGACGCTCATTTACAAGGACAGGAGGGAATGATAAGACCTGAGGGGGCTGCCGTGGGAATCAGAGAATATGTGAAAGCACTGAGGAATAACATAGGCAAAGGAAACCACCGGAAGGCGCTCACTCCACAGCAGACAGTCACAGACCAACCACACAGAAGCAGTTGCTCACAACAGCCTTGCCATCCAATGTTTCCCCATCAGAAGTAAAATAATTTGTTGCTAAATTGTGCAAGGAATTCTGTCTTGGTTAAGGGCCCAAGAGTGGCGTTCCAAAACGTCAGAAATCTGTGGAGACATTTTAGATTCCCATGATGTGTGCTACAGTCTCGGATCTAAAAAAAATACCTACTGCCAGACTTTCTTTAAGTAGTAAGTGGTTTCTGAATAACTCAGATTGTTGATTCTTTCGCTTGCTCTGCTGTAAACTCTATAATACTTAATAAAAATGTACACAACAGATTTTAGATGAATTAGATCCTAACGGACACAAATCAAAACCAGTAATAGAATGAGGGCTAGTGCGCTCTCTCTCTCTCTCTCTCTCTCTCTCTCTCTCTCTCTCTCTCTGTCTTTCTTTTAAGCAGAGTGGGTCTTAGTGTTTTAGAGTGTAAGCAAAGCTGTCCCATTGAAACAAGTCTCCCAGCCGGTAGAAACTAACCTTTTCATTGGCTATTCCTCAAAAGTATGCAGCTATTCTACATTTGCCATTCTCTGTATTGCCTCATTTACAATGTACATTTGCACTTCTTCAATAGCAAAACATGGGGCTATTCTTTCTTTAAAAACTAAGTAACTTTTAAGTGATTTGATGCCGTGAAACAAAAAAATCATTATATAACGTGAAAGTTCATAAAGATGATCATAACAGTAAGTTACCCACTAAAGGCCCTCAAGAATCAGGCTGCAAGCCCTTCGGATAATTCCAAGGCTCTATAAATTCCCCCAAGGCAGGACACATTCTCTTTACCACACTCCAAAACACCCAAACGCTCCAATGTTTTCTAAGAAAACAGGCTACAGAGCTTGCATTAGCATAACACTTTCCCCTAAGAACGTAGAAGCAGCTAATCACACTATTGTTGAAAAGTAATATACTCCCACCCACATCTTAAGAGAACAGTTGCTGGTATTCTATGAGGTGTTCAAGTCCCTCACCTAATGACGAGCAGTGGAGGAGGAAGGCTCAACTAGGATAACGGATGGGGGAAATTTCGGGTGGAAAGCAGAAGTTACAGAGATAACTCTGAGCAGGTGCTCGCAGGAGGAAGGGGACCAGGTCTTAGAGGCATCAAAGCACTAACTAACTTAAGATGGGAGCTGGGTGGATGAGATCCAGGGTCCCAGCTAGCCCCCACTCTCCCCAGTCTGCTCAGTCGCTGCGGTTCTCCCACGGGTGCAGTAAGTAGGACACCCCCACCGGTGATGCCCCCTCCTGCCGCCCGGAGCCCCGCGTCTCACCAGCCGCCAGGCGCAGGCCGCGGAGGCTCCCCATGGCCGCCTGCTCCACCGACGCACAGCACCCCTCGGCGGCAGGTCGGCGCTGGCGCTCAATGTCACCG